TGCACGGTCAACAGTTATGGTTATCCATCACGGTTGATTTCATTACCGGAGCGTTGAAATAATCCTCGAATTAATAATCCCAGCACCCTTACTCTGGAAAATAAAAGTTGAAGCGCGCAGGTTGAAGAACCGGAACAATTTGTTTCTGTTGGGAAAATTCCTCTCGAGACAACGACGAGGAACGATTATTGACGATTTCTGACTGTCAATGTTATTTTCTTAAACTTCAATTCTTGTCTTTCATCAGTTAGATTTATTTCGTACGTTTCTCATTCAAAAAACAGTTTTTTCATTCTCGAATAAAATATTAAATATAAAAATATAGAAACAAAATATAAAATATAAATATAAAAATATAGAAACAAAATATAAAATATAAGTATAAAAATATAGAAACAAAATATAAAATATAAGTATAAAAGTATAGAAACAAAATATAAAATATAAGTATAAAAATATAGAAACAAAATATAAATATAAAAATATAAAAATAGTTTTTTCATTCTCGAATGAAATATTAAATATAAAAATATAAAAATAAAATATAAAATATAAAATATAAAAATAAAATATAAAATATAAAATATAAAAATAAAATATAAAATATAAAATATAAATATAAAAATAAAATATAAAATATAAAATATAAATATAAATATAAAAATAAAATATAAAATATAAATATAAAAATAAAATATAAAATATAGATATAAAAATATAAAAATAAAATATAAAATATAGATATGAAAATATAAATATAAAAATATAAAAATATAAAGTATAAAATATTTCACTAGCATAGTCTGCGATTCTAATAGATAGCAGTTGATTCATCGATCCTGGTGTGTATAATATCATCTAAATTGTCAATAATTGAATTTTCTTAATTGAAATATCTATTGAAACGTTCATACATGTCACGAGTGATAACACAGTATTTGATAGCTACGGTGCAATATTAAATACACTGTGTGTATATTTTTCTCAGTGATTTATCTCGGTCGGTGTGACGTTTTTACGAGCGCAGCGTCGACAAGCTTTCAAATTCATCTCACTTACGGTTGCGTTTTTATTTCGCCATTCATCGGCACGTTCGTATCGAGCATTCGCTGAATTTTTCTCTGCTCTGTATGCACGTGTGTCGTACGTGTAGCATCTTGGCACGGGGCAGAAACCTCGCGCGATATTGCTAGCACGTATCGATTCGAGGCAGATACCGTCCATACAGCGTGCAATTTCATTGAGCATCCTTTGATGTTTCCTCTATGAGAAAAAAAAGAAGAAGAAAAAAAAAAAAGGAGGAAAAAGAACCGGCATTCTGCGGATCATGTCGAACCGATACGAGTAACGTATCTGTGTGTTGCCCTTTGATACCGCGTGACGAGATTGCAGATTTCCATGTAAACTGTCGCGTCAGAAGTTGTCGAACGCGTCGCCACCGCGTTATTACAAGTCTGTATGAAAACCGAGTCTCCTCGACTCGCGCGGTAGGATCGATGTGACTTTGGTTTCCCTGGACTTTCGTTTCAATAGATCGCAGATAACAATTACAAGGACGTAACAACGTGCAAAGGTGGACAAAAGAAGCATTCGAGCTCGACAAAAAATTGTTCTGTGCGGTTCAAAGTGTTACAGTGTGAAAAACCTTCTCTTTGACAAATCTATGTTAGTCTTTTTCCTTTTGACGATGTTTTTACATCGTGTAGTAAATGTCCGTGAAAAATGTAAAATTTCGAAAGTATGAAAACAATTGTTTCCCTGGCTGAATCTGCCATCATCTTGAGGATTGAATTCTTCCCTTTGCAACGACTCCCTAGAACTTGTTGCACGATTTTCTTTTTTGTGTTATTTTATTAAATTTTGATGAAATTAAGGTTGAACGGCAAAATATTAAGATTTTTTGAATTTCTCGGGGTCAATAAAATCATAAAGCAAGTTTTAAAGGGGAGCAAGTTTTCGATTCTCAAGATTACGGTGGATCTGGCCGTGAAAACAATTTGCCAGCGATTTTGAAGGCGTTTAAATTTCTGCTGTTTTCGACAAGAAAGGTATCCTTGTTCTTCCACTTGCTGCGCGATGTGAAAAACATTTGAAAAAAAAGAGTATTGTACTATTACATTGTTATATCGTACAACGCTAAACATACATATATTCCTACATTCGTTACAATTATATTTATATCATAAGAAAAAAGGAAACCTGAACTGTTGGCTCAGATATAAGTACAATATCCCCTTAGACGATTAAATTGTCGAACGCAAATGGTTAAATTGTTCAATCTTTCCTAATGCACTGCTCACAAAAATTAAACCAAAAAAAAAAAAAGAATCATTTGATTTTGTTTCCCTGCTTTCTTTCCCTTTTCTGCTGTTCTCGTTTAATAAAAAAAAATCAAATGCTTCTTGCAATATCCAATGCAAACATCCCCTAATGTTTGCGAGCAGCATATTTCAAACGAAGACACTCTAAATCGATAGTCCGTTTTATTTCAATCACTCTGCCGCCATTCCACCAGCCGTTCGCCACAGTATCGATCATGAAAGAGTTCAAACCGAACCTCGGAGGCGAGTCTCCCCCCCCCCCCCCCCCGCGAGCGAAACTTTCTCGATTCCGCCAGAAAGGATAAGGGAAAACGAGGAAGGTTCGCGCGTGTGCAGAAAGCCCTTTGTGTACACGCACGCTGTAGGTTATCATTGACTTCCGGGACGTGAATCGATTGCAGCGTTACTGACAGATCGATTACCCCGACGGAGGATGCTAACGCGTACTCGCGGACGTGATCGGATCGGCCGTGATCGTGCGGAACGAATTAGGTGGCCGCAGCGCGCCGCAAGTTCTGATCGACTCAGAACGGAGGGCAAACCTTATTGCAAACCGGCCGCAGGAGCGGATTCCTCGCGGAGCGTGAGTTTATGATTGACGCTTGCCGATAGAGGATTCCGATCCGAGAGAACACCGAGCAGTCGAGCTGTTGAACTTGCGATTTTTTTCGAGTTTTCAGAGTTTTTCAATCTCAAATCTTGAATTTTCCGACCCGCGAATGTTGAAGAGAGTAACTAAGAAGGTCCAGAAATATTGTACCGTCAAACTGAATTTTAAATTTGTTTCAACGTTGCTTGTATTTACTCGTGTACCGCTAGATTTTTGTTTGTGTCTACCCGTGGACTAAATAGATAAATAGATTTTTAATTTTGTTAGTTGAACTTCAACAAATGATTACTCTGTATTGAGAATAATATGTTTAATTTCTTCGATATTTTTAGTTTTATTTATTGTCATAATAATAGTCGGAGGATGCCACAGATGTCTCACTTACTAACAATCGCAACCATCTTCCAATCCCCTGCGACGACCAAATAATCCATTGTAAAAAAGTGGCAAAAAATGAATGGAACAATACGTGGAAAACAACTAAAAGCATCCAACTACACAAAAGTATCCAACTAGCAAACTTTCACCAGCAAACACCAAACTTTAACAACAGGAAAGAAGGAATAATTATCACACGCCTAAGAACCGGTCATACCAAGCTGACACATGAACACAAAATTAAAAAAACTACACCATCCACCTGCACTCGTTGCAATAACCATCCACTAACAATAACCCACATACTGCACGAATGCCACACCTCAGAAACCCAAAGACAGAAATATTTTTGTTTTTTATTTATATATAATCCTTGCCTAGGCGGCTTAGGATGGCTTCCGGTTTACAATGAGTTTACATCTTTCTTATTTTCTACTTCTATAGCTAATCCTTAGTCTTATGGATCTAATTTGTCTTTTTGAGCAATCTCATCTTCTTGTAGGAACTATAAGTAAAAGTAAAAGTAAAGCAAAAGGTGAAAGGTACTACAATGTGAGAAAAACTTTCTACTGTCTTCTACCATTGCTCAAAAAGGTACTATATACAAAAGTAACGTGAAATATTTCCTATACGAGTTTACATCTTTCTTATTTTCTACTTCTATAGCTAATCCTTAGTGTCTTATGGATCTAATTTTGCTCAGCTTCTTGTAGGAACTATAAATAAAAGTAAAAGTAAAGCAAAAGGTGAAAGATACTGCAATGTAAAAAAAACTTTCTAGTGTCTTCTACTATTGTTCAAAAAAGTACTATATACAAAAGTAACGTGAAATATTTCCTATACGATGATGATACGAGTGATACAAAAATTGAGAATCAAAAAGGTACTATATATTATTTATATATAATCCTTGCCTAGGCGGCTTAGGATGGCTTCCGGTTTACAATGAGTTTACATCTTTCTTATTTTCTACTTCTATAGCTAATCCTTAGTCTTATGGATCTAATTTGTCTTTTGCTCATCTTCTTGTAGGAACTATAAGTAAAAGTAAAAGTAAAGCAAAAGATACTGCAATGTGAAAAAAACTTTCTGGTGTCTTCTACTATTGCTTTTTCTTTGGTATTGTCTTGCTGCTTCTTCTTCAGTCTTTTCCCCTCCTCCTTTCTGCGTTACTTTATATAAAACAGAAATACAGAATCAACGCAAACATAAACCTGACTTCTCAAAGTGACATACAAAGAGTATTAAAATATCTCAAAAACAGAAACTATTGCACACATATCTAGCGGCACCGTCGTCGCTAATGACCTCGCTGTCGATGCGACATTAAAGAAAAATAGAAGAAGAAGAAGAAGAATAGTCGGAGATATTAAGAAGGTTGCAATTTGAGACAAAAAGTTGCAAGAGGTTGAAACGACGTAAAACCAAACAGGATAAATATCACACTCTTTGCAATATAATGAGATTTTTGTTATATTTGTCAAATTAGGAATTTGAGAGATCTGTTTGAAAGAGTCTCAATTCTTTTAATAAGCGCATGTGTCTCGCTGCTAGGTACGACGATATTCATGTTTTCCTCAAAATTTATGATATCCAGGGGGATTGTGAAATCTGTCTGGATCTGTTCGCGAAATGAAATGAAACGAAAGAAGCGCAATTGGTAACTAATTTGTCTGTTTCCTTGGACGCAGCTGTTTGCCGGGACCGCCTGCATGTTCAAGTCTCACAACAAGGTTTGTTCTACGTCAGTGTGTGCCTTCGAACGTTGTGTTTGCCTCTCTGCTATGCTTCAGCCTCGCAGTGGTGTCGTGTCACGTTTTTTTATTTTCTCACCGCGTGTGTCTACGTAGTTTGCACATTTTCTTGCTGCGTGTCTCGCACACCGAAAACCTCTATCTAGGCACTGTCGTAATTTAGAACAGCTTGGTGTCAAACGCGACGAGAGAGGAGGCCAGTGTATTTGCCGTTTCTTCCTATTAACGCACTCCTTGCCAGTCGACGCTGCAATTTTGCATCACGTTGTCAGCTGAGAGTGAAGAATATAAGTGTTACATTAAACTCTGTATATATGATTGAGCACTGATTTAAAAAAAAAAAAAAGAACAGCACACATTTTTCAATTGTCGAGCGAGTGAAGTATAACTAAGCAATGAAACATTGACGTGTCTGACTCGTTTGAAAATTACTATGTCGCTGTTGATAGGCGGGATGTTGAAAGACGTCAGAAACGTCCAAAATTAAACAGTTGTACGTTTCTCTTAGCCCTCGCTGGACCACCGTCTCCATATTCCTCTTGAAGCTGAAATTCAGCAAGTGAGTCCTCGCTTTGGGATCGAGGACGAGTGGAAAGGCACCGAGCGACTAATTGTTTTCTCGGCGCCACGGTGTCACGTAGAGAAGAAGGAGAAAAGCAAGGCGAGAAAGGAAGGAACGAAATCAGAAGAATCGAATTAGCCGAGCCAGGAGGAGGACCCTGTCCTCTCTTGGCGTTCCCTTGCCCTTTTCGTCTTGCCGTCTTTTCGTCTTGCTCGTTTTCCCTCCCTCTCTCGTTGAAGGATGCTACGAATTTACAGAAACGACCGGCCACCACCTACCTCTTGGTCCCCTTTGAGTTCCCTGAATTTCCACCTAATGTAATTTCGTCCGCGACGATCCTCCTCGTTCCTCCTCGTGGTCCTGCAAGCTGCTGTCGCGCGTTGTCGCTTGGAATATTGTTGTTTGCTTTCCGTGCACGTAGTTTGTTAGATTCGTCCGTAGCATTTGCCTCGGCCATTTCACGCGTTGTTTGCGGAATCATCTTTTCATTCCTCCGGAAGCTGACGCGAGCAGAGTTTAATGGAGCCTGCGTGTACGAAACGAACGTGCGGCCTGAATTCGAAAGAACAAGCGGAAAACTGTCTTATCGATCCTATTTCTGCCGTGTTGACACTCGGATCGAAAGCTTTTGATTAAGTTGACAAATTAAATTTTTATATTTTAGAAATATTAAATATTATAAATGGTAATAATTTTAAATTTACTTATATAATTGTATCTTTTTTAATTAAAATTCTAATATATATATATATGACTCATGGATGATTATTAAAAGCTCATGTTCAATAACTTTAGCTTCAGTAATATTAAAATTAGGAAGATATGGATTATTACGAATTATATATGTAATAAAATTTATATTTAATCAATTTTATTTAAATTTAATAATAATTAATTTATACGGAATAATATTTTTAAGAATTATATGTCAATTAGATATAAAATTAATTGTTGCTATTTCTTCAATTGTTTATATAAGAATTATATCAATAAGAATATTATTAATAACAAAATTATGATTATGTAGAAGATATTATATAATAATTAGACATGGATTTATTTCTTCTAGATTATTTTATTTAATTAATTTAATTTTTGAAGAATTTTAGTACGTAACAATTAGGCTACTATCGATTTCACGTACGTATATATATATCGATATATATATTTCGATATTTTCTTCGATGTCTTTTTATAATAAGCGCATAGATAAACTGTGTTTGTGCTACTTGGCGTTAATGGCTTGAATTATGACCCTTGCGCTGGCAACTGGTTCGCGGACCATAACGAATGACCGAATCGTATACAATAATTTGTCTCTCTCTTTTTCTTTTGAACTCGTCGGTATCGATATCACTGGATGAATAAATTGTTGAGAAATAATAAACTTATCATTTGTTTTGCCTGGGTTACATTTAAATATATTTTAAACTGTGAAAATGTTGCAATTTGGGACATTCTTTGGATTTAACGCGACAGACTGTGTCACGTTCTTGCTCCAGAAACGATACTATAGACTATTTGCTCATTAGGTGCCCAGAAAGGTTCGTATTTCGATTTTTGTCGATTTCCAGGGATTTGTCTGATAACGAAATCCACTTTTTAGAAGTGGAAGAAAATTATTGTCGCCGGTAGATTTATCGTGACAAGTTAGAAAGAGTTCTGAGAAAATTACGAAGAAATTCGGCACTGGTAAATGGGAAGAAATTTGTTTCTTCAAGACAATACCCGATCTCATGTCACCAAATCATGACTCATCCTCAAGTGGTCCTGTAGTACTTGTATAGTATAGTACTTGTCTCTGAATTTCGACAATCGTATGAGAAACAATTACAACAACGAAAGTGATCCCAAAAAAGAAACTTTTCGTAGAAACGTTGGGGGAAAGCTATAAAGTACGTAGGTTCGTATTTTCAAGATTTAATTTCGCGTGGAAAAACTTTGCTGAACACCTGACGTATAATTCAATCCGAGGACGTGTCTATCGAGTTATTATTGTTATATTACTCAAAGTCCTCAGAGAGGCGATCTTCGACGAAAGATTTTTGCGGTTACACGCGGATCTCGATCGACAAAAAAAAAAAAAAGAAAAAAAAAGAGAGAGAAAAAAATTGGCGAAAATTCACCGAGCGCAAGGAGACACTTGGAATTAGTGTCGAGCGCGATTGCTCTAATGGGGAAGGGTCGTGCATGGGGAAACGGGGTCGCGCGTTCCTCCGGCAGGGCAGAAATCATCGCCGGCGAAGAATGCGAATACTAATTGACGGGATGGTGGATTGTTGCACGCCAATACCCGTAACCAATACGGTATTCGTGTAATTGGACGCGTTTGTTGGTTCGTTCGCGCCCGCCTGGTAATTACAGTTAACACGATGCGACTGCCTCTGGCAGTTCGTTCACGCCTCGTGTCGATCGATCGCCTCGTGTCGCGTTCTCCTCTCGTCCTCCGAATGTTTGTTCGAAAGATTCGCAAGTACTCGGGCAGGATTTTTGCGTCGCGTGGAAATTGGAATGCGCGCGTGTGTGATCGAGTGTGTGTTTGGAATCAGAGTTCACCAGAAGATTGGGAGAAGAGACAGTTCGGTGTGCGCAGTACCGATCAAAGGCGGCAGCGATCTCGTGAAATAAAATCGTGCGACAGTAAACCGCTTCGATGCCTTTACTTCCAAAACACGTTTGTTCATTTTCGTTCTGGGTTTATTAAAAACTTTTCCACTCTAAAATGCTAGAAATTGTCGAGTGTAAAAATTTTTTTACATTTTTTTTTTTTGCACCGCTGGAAATGGATAGATTCGAAGGTTAAAGTCTGCTCTTTGTAGTGAAATTTCAGTAGAATTTAATGTACGAATTTATCGAGTTTTGAACAGCGAAAACCAACACGACAGTTTCTTGAATTTTCGTCGTTCGAGACATTCAAAGTTTAATGAAAAATGATAAAATCGTGCATGAAGTTTTCAAGTTTTAATAATTGTAAAGGGAAGGCTTCAGTCTTTGAATTCGCAGTAAATTCAGTCGTGAACAAAATTTCTCAATGTCTTTCACGTATTGTACATACGCACTGTGACCATTTTCGAAAAGAGAAGCGTCTCTGCTACCTGCGAAGTGAAAAACCATTTTAGAGTAAAATAATTGTTCTATGGAAAGTGGAGGCTTCGCGCTTCGAATTTATCGTCGCTAGATGAAAAGTGTTCGCCTATTGCCATCCACCTAGACCATAATTCTTCCCGCGAAAGTATATACTCGCTCCGTTCTGAAAACAGGAAATCACCAAGCTGAAACCACGTGAAAACCAACAACCAGCGACACCACATTGTTTATCATTTACGTCATTTCACTTGCCATTTCCATTCCAACGAGTAACAGCCAGAAAACCGGCCGAGCCGGCTGAAATTTATGATTTCCATCAATCTATACCGCTCTTCAGTATAAAAAAAAAAAAAAAAAAAAAAAAAAAAAGAAACTTCAAAACCAGCGCGCTCTGATTGCCAAGTCAAACAACAGTCTAATCGTCGCGAAACATTCATTTCGTCGAACGAGAAATCGTGCGGGCAGAAATTCGTCAGATGGTGGGGCGATAATTGGCAAATAATGGCGTAGAATGCGGGTAGCCAGGCGCTCGCGTGCGAGATAAACGAAAATTAATAATTTCACGTGGTCGACGATCGACCATCGTGTACTCTCCTCTCTCGATATCGATTTCGTTCACTCCGAAACCGAGAAACGGAATCAGGACACTGCGAGAAAGAGAGAGAAAGAGAGAAACGATCTGTAGGATTTCACGAGCCGCTCAACGAGCTCTAATTACTGACGTCAGCGTGTCGTCAGGTCAATCTACGGTATTTTAAGTTTAAACTGGACGACACGGCCCGGTCGTTGCCGTCCAGTTTCTTGCGAGAGCCGTGAAAGAAGCCGAAAGAAGCGGCGCGCCGTCCTCCTTCGAGATCGAGATCGAGATCGTGATCGCGATCGCTCCTGGACTCCGAGAGAGTAGCTCCGAGTGACTATAGTTCGCTGGTTCGATGACACGAACGTTGACACTGATAGGATCGATCAGATGCGGCCGAAATGGACGTGATTCGTGGCTACGTGAGTGATAACCCCTGAAACGCGCTTCTTCCTGCTTCTTTTATGTGAAATCGGGGATCGTAATCACTCGAAATCTGGTACCCTTCGTCTTTGACAAAAAAAAAAATCGATTGTCCGTTTCTGTGGAATTTTTCTATTACGCTTGCAATTAGGAACACTTTTGAGTAGTGTTCTCGTGGAACTAGGAAACTAGACGTTATTCTAGAATATTTTAATTAAATATTCGAGTATTATTCGTTAAATTCAATTCGGTATTCGTTACAAATGTCGACGAATGTTTTGATTTGATTCTGCTCCGGCAGAAAAATTTTTATCTTTGCATTTTCTTCCACAAGTTCTATTCTGTCCGAAGAAACATTCTGTCCGCTTCTCGAGAAAGTTCTACGATCCGTGTTTCAAATAGAATCTATTTAAAAGCTTAACTTTTTCTGTCCGTGTTTAAAATCGATAGTCGGTGTGTAACGAGCTGTGAATGATATTAACGATCTTAATAATTAATCGATGTTACTTTGGTAGTTGTGTAGTTTTTAATTTTAGTGCTCGATGACAGTGACGTCACGTACATCCACGCTCAAAAGTTTTGGGGCAGGTGTTGTATTTGCTTCAAAAGTGGAAAAATACTTCGTACAACCTGAAAAGAATCTGTCAATTCTGGACGCAGAAATTGTTCGTAAATCTAATGAGAAATTGTCGGATACTTGCAACTCTTACAATTTTTGGACAATAAATTTTAAAGGACTTTTGTAAAGTGGAGACTTTAATCTTGAAGACCCTGGTGGCTTTAGTTATGAAAATAATTTTGCCGTGTGCAAAATTTCCGAGGGAAAAAATGTCCTTACTTCTTCGAAACAACGTAAAACCATCTCGGTGCTGCGGAAGTAAAAGTTTCGCGCTTAAAAATGAGTCTGGGTAGTGTACGAACATTTTCTGCACCCAGTGAATATATTGACAATTCGCGAATTTCTTCGAGTTTAAATTTGACAATTTTTAAAAAAGTATACCATTTTGTTAGGTTTTACAAAGTATATTATTAACTTCTCTTCTTTCGGACAGAGGCTCAAGTACCGAATGTTAACTGTCACACTAAAACTAAACTAAACTAAAACTAAAAGTATGATATTTAAAAAAAAAAAATTAAAATAAACAAGTTGCAAGAAAAAGTTAATAATACAATAAAAAAACACAAGCTTCCATTAAAAATCATCCGAGTATCTAAAAATATACTATTACATATATATATATATATACAATTTCCACAGAAAGTTATTTAAATTGATTATTTTAAGACCATTTTAGTTAATTGATACTGTTAAAACCGAAAACTGTCTCAAGACTTTCGAGCAACGTGGTAATTAGTGTAATTTTAGATTTTATTTACATTACGTTGGAGTCGCATTGCTGTGACACGGGCAATCTTTTCTTTCTTTTCAGTTGGGGGACGCGATGTTCGTCGAGCTGCCACGTGTTCGATTGGACGGCGGCGCACGTGCTTTCCGACAGCATTGGGGTTACGAGTCACGACCCCTGGCACCGCCACCGCCATTGATCGAAGAAGACGAAGCGGCGATCGAGCCGGAGACAGTCAGCCTGCGGGAAGCCAACACCGCGTCGCCGATAGGTGAGTCTATCAAACGCACGCTCGCGATTAATCTCGCTTTAACCGGCGATTTAATACCCTCGTCGAACGATAAATCGTTTCGGGATGGGCTGCTCGACTGGAAAAGAGTGAAAGTGAAAATTCAATTGAGCAAGGTAGCTCGATATTTGGCCGAGACAATTTTTCAACGTTCGCGACGTTCACAGTCGATGACTGTCGATGATCCATTTTTTATTAATTCTTTTTTTTTTTTCTTTTTTCGTTACGTTTCTCCAATGATCTCTGGGACTGGAACGATTAAAAAAAAAGAAGCGAGAGAATGAATTTTTTTCGGCTTTGTTCGTTCGTGACCAGGAGTGAAATTGTTCCTGCTTGAAAAGTCGCTTCATTTGCAACGCAATTTCCCGTGGCTCGATGCCGCGCGCGCTTCATTATTCAGCAGCAGCGCGAATCTTGCTCGGCGGTGTTTAATGACGCCGTGCTAAATAAACGCGCGGGCAGAAAGGGCTGTCGCGTCCCGCGATGCGTAACGAGAACACGGAAGCGTCAGAGTGGCGGGGTTCTTTTCCTCCGGGCGGACAAATCGGCAACCGTGACCGGTCGATGTTTCATCTCGTGCCCGCGGGATCAAGACCACCCAAGGTATTAATTGCGCTTTGTCTCAAACAGTCGTCGACCGTTGCTGACAAACTGGCGACCGACGCCGCGCGTCGAGCCACGTAACGAGCGGACATTGTTCGACAGGTGGAATTCCCCGAGTGCGTGCCGGGGCCTCCACTCTCGCGTCGAAAGTGCTCGCCGACAAACAGGCCTCTCTCCACTCGCCACTCGCCTCCCCTCTCGCGTTCAATTTTTAATCGCCGGCAATTAGCGCGACGAAAGTTGCAAGGATTCCGCACGCCAGGACGCAATCGTTAGGGGCGGCTTTCGAATCGATGGGTGTGCTGTTGGGGGATATTTTTCGCAATTGTTTCGCGATTGTTTTCTCTTTGATGGGAAGGCACGATTACGCTTGCCGATAGCACGTGGTTCTGTCTGTTTCTGCACGCGGGACAAGCTGGAGTTGAACTTATTGTTAACTCGTTGTTGTCGAGAGTTCGATAAACCCTGACGCTCGGTCGTCTGATTTTATACAGAATGTTCGAAGATCTAAGAAATTATTTAAAATCCAATTTTGTAAAGGGGAGATTTTAATAATCGCGATTGCGCGATGAATTTAGTCGTGAAAAGATAATTTTCAATGCTTTTAGAGACGTTTGAGTTCTAACAATAATCTTTTTTTTTTTTCACGAGCTACACAATGTAAAGATATCTTTGACGAAAAGAAGTTTAGGACTTTCGAAATAAGAAACAAAATTAAATGTTCCATCCAGTGCTTCGATATACCGTGAAAAATAGTATTTTAATTTCCATATATGCATTTTACAGATCAAATGAAGTATAGAAAAAAAATTGGGAGTGTAATTAGCACGACACAATCGTAAAAATTAACAAACTAATCTTTCTGATTATTTTTTTCTTTTTTTATAAATGAAAATTTAATCGATTCATAGACACTGAAATGCTAGTGTCGCGTAGCGGCAGAGCGACGGAACTAAAATCTACTGCTGTTTTCGTTGCACACTAATGCTCTCCTTATTTTTTCGCCAAGTCCATTTATCCTTGACTCAGACTATTGCACTTCTTGTCTACAAAGGATAAGACAGATACTGCCATCTATCATATCTTTTTATTTTACCCTCAACCGTTAACAAGGAGCGCAAAAACAGACATTTCTTACATGCTGCCATCTGTGCACATCTCGGTTCAAACTGCAATTAAAAAGATAAAATGGAAGTATCCAACAGATGGCAGAACGCGTCACATTTCAGTTCCACAACAGTAGTTATTAATAAATCGATTCAAAGAAGATTCACATCCAAAATTATGTTATAAACTTGTTGCTCACACTTTGATCTATGTACACGAACTACTTTCATTCAAATTTCGAGCGTAATTTGCACGAAATTAAATGTTATTCATTTCGATCTATTGAACAAAAATTTTTAAACATTCATACGCGCAGCCGAAAGAAACATGGAAAATTGACAATCTAATTTGAAAGACGCGATTATAAGATTAGATAAATTAATTTTTTTCTAAATTAAATGTTCTTTAAGAATGTAGCGACCTCTACTTTGAAGTATTTAGATCAATGATATCTATGTTCATTAAATCGTTCCGTCGAGATGTGTATTTCATATAAACAATAGAATATTTAAAAATAGAAATTTTATTATCACCATGGAAATGTTTACAGAAACTTATATATATTGTAGCCATAGTAGAAATTCTTCATTCGTTATTTAACTTTCATTCGTAGAAATTATTCGTTATTTAACTTCCATTATGTAATCTTCATTAAATTATTAGTAATTATATATTTTGTGGTATTGATAATACTTTTATATAAACAACTAAAATTAATTACGGAGTTATTATTTGTTTGTAGTATTATGATATTAATTTAAATTATCATAATCACTACAAGAATATAGTGATTATGATATTTTATATTTATATCACAATACTATAAATAAATAATAACTCCGTAATTAATTTTAGTTGTTTATATAAAAATATTATCAATATCACAAAATATACAATTACTAATAATTTAATGAAGATTATATAATGGAAGTTAAATGACGAAATAACGAAATAACGAATGAAGAATTTCTACTATGGCTACAATATATATAAGTGTCAGTA